TTTAAATTCAAGGCTTACTGAATACGAAGCAATGTTATAGACTGGACTGAAAATTCAGCAAGTTCAGTTAATTTAACCTTGAATGGTGATGAGAAGAAGTCTATTTTTTTTTTTATTAAATAAGACCCTTTTTGGGGAAAACTATTTGCACACAAAAGGGAAAAACAAGCACCACCACACACACACACACACACATAAACACACACATATTAAAATGAAATGTAGCCTGTTGTAGGCTATATTATAATAATATGGCTGCTTTTCTTTAATAATCTAGTCACTATCTGTATACAAATCACTAGCGTTACACATGGTGAATGCTGTAATGTAACACAAGATATAAATAATAATAATAATAATAAAAAAAAACTTCAAATGGAAACCAAAAACAAAATGATTTCAAGTATCCATATTCATTTGTGATTGTGTGAGCTGTGTTTGTGTTTTCTTGTAGTAATAAGAACGTGTGTATGTGGGTTTGTGTGGCTGTTTAAACAACTGCATGCATTAGTGTGGAGTGCGCTGAAATATTATAATTGATGAGGGATGGCAGTGCACAGTCTTGCCATGACTTTATGAAATTTAGATGAATTAACAGGTTTGGGATGAGTCCATTTGGAGACAGATGCTCGAGCAAATCACAGCAAGAAGTCATTTAGCCCTCTCCATCAGCCATATGAAGGCAAACTCCATGTGCTGTAGTCAGTCAAGGCCCAACTGACCATATAATCTATGAAACACATACAACGATCTGCACAGTTATTATTGTATTACATACAGTTATGAGCCTGTAATGAAATAAATGACGAAAATATGGAACTGCGGAAACATTTCGCCACTGAAAAACATGAGAATTGAAAAAACTAAACACATGCATAGCACAAAAACATGCCTAGTATCAATGTAATACAGGCACTGTGAAATTCTATATTACAAGACAGTTAAATTACCGTTTGTATTGTAAAGCAATATGATGAGAAAATCCTTCTCATTATCAGCTGCTACATGTGCAGGAAAAACTAAAACAGCATTTGTTGCAGCTCCATGTGTTTTGAAAACACAAAGCATAATGTAAATTTTTGCTTTGTGAAAGCACTATGCATTCTGAAAATAAGTGGATGCACATGTTATGAAGACAAATAGCAGAACTGGAACAAATAAAAGAACCTCTATTATTCTCAGACTCTATTAAATTTACTGGATGTTCGAGTGAATGCGAACCTGAGCCACTGTAGTGTTTTAAGCTCCGTCGAACATAAGAGAAGTGGGAAAAGTGATAGAGAATGCACCCTTATTCAACACACAAAGCACCACAATTCATTTTCTTAATAAATCAAGCAACAGACATGACACATTTAAACCACAGCAAAATGTGGAAGTTCAATCTTCACATTGTCTATTTATCCAAAACAGTGAATCACAGAATCATCCATGTAATTGTGCCTCTGGGATACATTGATCACTTTACTTTACATTTTAAAATGTAAATACTGAAAACAGGATTACATACAGTGGCATTCGGATGCAGCTTTTCCATTTTAGGAGAGATTAAGGTTATACTTCTGTCTGGTCACTACTGAGTTAATTTCAAGTCCACAAACTTGTCTATAGCACTAGCGGCCTAAGCCGGCCAAACATAGTGTGGGCCACAGGCCAGACATCATGGACTAAAAAAAATCACTCAACTTTGCTACACGCACATACACAGAGAGAGAAAAAAGACTGGGCTGTGATATGTCTACTGGTTTATATAAGAATAGAATTACCATGCATCTAGGTCATTTACGAAATTACACAATGGAAAAATCCTTTATAATTACTGACTCTAACACATCTAGTTAGAATAAACATATAAATGTGAGATGTTTACCATTTAGGGTGATGATTATGTTCTGCTCTTTTCCAGCAGCAGTGGGCCTACTGTCACAGAGGTATGCACACTAAAATATTCTGATATTTTTTAGGTAACGCGCATGCTCAGTTGGAAGAAGATAATGTTATAACCAATAGGCTATTCCAACGCCCAGTGAGGTAATCCCAGGAAAGATAACTAAATAAGCAAATTATAAATACCGCAGTCCTGCAGAAGAGCCTTCAATAAATTGGCACGTTTCATTACGGATACTTAAAAAGGGGGGGGGGGGGG